TTGTATATTATTCTTTATTTCAGTCAGTGTATGCTTAATTTCTAATTGTTCCTTTTTCATATCCTTGAGGGTCTCACTAAATTTCTCAAAGGTTTCTAGAGGATTCTTGAGTAAACTTATAACAGTGGTTTTGAACTCTATATCTAGTAGTTTGCTTTTCTCCATTTCTTTCATTGTGACCTTTTCATTTGTCTCACATTTCGGCTGCTCCCCTGTGTTGATAGAGCAGCTTTGTGAGCACATAGGTGTCCTATGTGGCCAAGTGGCTCAGCTTCTCCAGTTATGTGAGGTAGACATTCTTGGTGCACCCCTTTGTGGGCAGTGTGCACACTCTTGCTGTAGTTAAACCTTGATTGTTGTTGGTATCACTGGGAGGAATTGACGTCCAGGCCAATTGGCTGTGAGGATCAGTTGTGTCCAATGGGAGAACTTCTGTGCTGGAGACACCCTTATGGGGTAAGACTTGCTTCAGTGAGGCTTTGGCACTCACTGAGTCTGCCCCCTAAGTATGTCTCTTATGGATCTGAAGAGTTGTGGTCTGGGTGGTCTCTCTCTGATCACTGGGTACACTGGCTCTTGGATCTTCAAGGAGAGAGGCCACCCAGCAGGAACTACCGAGAGATCTGCAGATTCCTTCTCTTTGTTTGGGGTTTGGAGGTGCCCAGAGGAGGCCCAGCTGTGAAGCAATGCAAACTGCTGTGGAGCCTTGGGTCTTCTTTTGGAGGCTCTGGAGCTTTTTGACCCAGCTGCAGTAAGTTAGGTTTCAGATTTCAAAGGGCAAGGCCATTCGTATGCAAAAGCATCTGCACACAAATTGGGTAGGGTGGGGTCTCTGGGAATCACCGGGGTGGAGCCAACAACAATGGCTGACCATCAGCCCTGCCTGTAAGAGGTCCTGTGTCTCTGTGTCCAGTGGCACTGTGCAGGAACAATGATCGCTGTAAGCACCTCTGAGAGAAAGCCACCCTCAAGTTCTGCCCCATGCCAGACAGTCCAGTTTCTCCCTGTATGAGTCTGGGTCCCCAGAGACCTGCCCAGAACTGGAGTTCAAAGCAGTAGGGAGCTTGTATCTCCCTTCTGATTAGAAAAGACAGCTGTGTATTCAGTTGCCAGCCCTTTCCGTATGCATGCCTCCGTACCTCTGCACTTCACTTCTGCACCTCTACTCTTCCTCCAAGTCTCAGTGTGCTTTTCTCTGTCCTTCTAGTTGTAGAATTTCCACTCAGCCAGCCTTCTGTGGTTCTGGATGATATTCATTTTGTCTTTTAGTTGTAGTTTTGAAGTGGTTGTGCAAGGCAGCAAGTTCAGATGTTTACCTATGCCACTATCTTGGTTTCTCCACATTTTAAAATTTGGCCAAATGTCTGTGAAGCATTTTCCCATACCTCATCTCATTTGATCCTCACAGAAGTCCTGGAGAGGTTAATAGGAGACTCATTAGAATCCTATTTTCTTTTCATTAGCCAGAAAATGGAGATTTAGAAAGCTTGGAAACTTGACCTGACTGAAAAGAAGAACTGGTGGACCTTGAAAATGACTTCAGGTTTTCTCACTGAGCATAATATAGTCGAACACTACTACAGTTAAATATTTTATCCTTTGTTCTCCCTGTGTGATCTACAATAATAATCTGTTTCATGGTGATATTTACTGCTGTGTTGTTGACAATTACCTGAAAGAGAAGTTGGGGTACTTCACTGGGCTGGAAAAATTTAGCTAAATCAGAAAGCAGATCTAATTAAGCAAGTTCATTCTCTATTTATAAAAGGCTAAGTTGACTTGTGTATGTGTGATACAGATAAAGCTCTTGCTGGCACCAATTGCAAGAGTGTGTTTCAATCTATCATTGTCTCATTGTTGGTTGTGAATTTGTTTGACACTTCTATTATAGAGAAAGGGCAAATAGCAATATTAAAATATTTCTTCTAACTAATTTTCTTGTAATGTGCACGATTTCATGCACTGGGCCACTAGTCTTCTATTATATTAAAAACAGCACAGTCTATTCCTGGGACCAGAAAATGGTCAGTATTCCTGAGGCAAACTCCCAGAGGGGGTTCTAGGCACAGCAGCTAAGTCAAAATGTGTTCTGTCTTTTCAAAATGTGTTTTCTTTTCTGAATAATGAACATATCAGGGCTTCAAGGGCACCTTATCTTTTAAAGACCATTTTTTAAAATATCTTTTCTTTCTTCTTGCAACACATCCTCCAGTTTCCCAGGGTCTGTAAGAAAAATCTTTTTCTATAGGAAGTAAGGTGAATAAACACTAAACAACTATGGTACTGTAATAGGCACCTTTTACCAACACTAAAGAAGTGTTATCAGACAGGACATCCTGTGAGCCAGTGAGAGAGGGCTGTCCCCAACCTTGATCCTTGTCTTCTCATATAAATGAATTGATATGAGATACCTTGACTGCATTGTGAAAACCCAACCTATTAAAGCAATTTAAGTATGCACATTTATTGAAATAGCAAAGCAAGCAGACCAATACATCTGTCTTACGAAGCACAGATGGGCTCTCAGCTAATCTGAAGAGCAAGTTGTGTGTGGGTCTGAGGTATTAATATACCCTCCTGTCTACAGGTCTCAAAATTCCTCTGCTGAATATTTTGGTACAGATTAATTCTAGAGGTCCCTTTTCTTACTTTGTTGTGGCCTTCCTAGAAATCATGAGAAGCACCTGGCAATTTCATCTTGCCAAGCCTTAGGCAAGGAAGTAAAACTGAAATAGGATGAATTCAAATTGTAAGCAAGGTTTCAGGCAGAACTTTCTTTTTTTATTAAAGAGCCAGCCCTATATGACTTAGTGGTTATCTTGATGCTGGCCTTGAAAAACAATGCTGCTCTATCCAATTTAAAAAAAAAAAAAAAGTGCATCTGGCATGGTATTGAGATTATGGGCATATCTGGCCTCTGGCCTGCAAGGTCAGGCAGCTAAGTTTTTCTTCATCATTCTTCAAACGAGCTAAAGCAAACTAGAAAGCAACATTTTATCTAGGAAGAACAGCAGAAAATTCCAAACAACAGTTTGTTGCAGAATAGGGGTTTTCCTTCTCAGAATCTTTAAAAATAACTACTTGCCCCTAAAGCGGCACAGTCGTTTGGAGTCCGCCTGCATGTGGTGATCTTGCGGCTGTCTTGGCCAGATATTCAATAAATTCTTTGCCTGCTTTTTTAAAATTAATCATCAGCCTCTGGTGGTCTTATTTTGAACCCAGGGTTCGACCCCACAACAAAAACTGCCCTTTTTTCCTTTCCCCATTCTCCCTCCTTTCTGCATTCTAGCATTAGGGAGTTTTTTTGTTTTTGTTTTTGTTTTTAAAAAAAAATGTGCTCTGTGTTCTTGACTGGGGAAGATAATGGTTTGTTAGTTACAAGCTGGCTGCAAATTGCCCATGCTTTTGGCTTTGTTTTAACTTTACTGTCTCAGTTTCCCTATTCCTCCTGCCCTGGAATCCTGTAACAGTTCTGTTCCTATTATGTGCACTTTTTCCTATCACTTTCACCTATTCTGCCCAGAAAAATAGCATGGAACCCTAAAACTTAAAAGCAAATGAGCCTGAAAATGCAGAGTGAAATTTTGTTTACCTTATCTTTCAAATATCTGAGACTGGTTCTTTCTTGGGGCTAATGACATGACCAGTGAAATTTACAATCCTTAAAAAAATATTTTTATTGATTTCAGAGCAGAAAGAAGAGAGAGACATAGAAACATAAATGATGAGAGAATCATTGATTGTCTGACTCCTTATGTCTCACACTGGGGATCAAGCCTGCAATCTGGGCATGTGCCCTGACCTCTTGGTTCATAGGTTGATGCTCAACCACTGCTGGCCTGGCTTATTATCCTTTTTCTACTTATTAGGAAGATAATCACCACTCAGTGTCTTGAAAATAGGATCACTGAAGTTCCTGACCCACTTTTTCTGTTCCTGTTAGTGTGACATGGCAGCAAATCATGCTCTTTCTGGGTGTTTTTTCAGGCGCTCTCTTTGTGTTGAAATGTACAAGACAAAGAATGATTAGACCTAATTTTGCATATTCTACATAAAATATACTGGACTTTTCCCCTTCAGAGCCGCCTGATTGAGATTCAGATTCCTGAATGTAAAAGACACTGTTTTTCCAATTGGCACAGATCAAGTCCAGAGAAATTATCCTCATGGCCTTTGGAAAGAATTATTAGACCCTAAATTGTGGATAAACAGTGTACTCACAGGTTAACCGAAGTCTCACACTTTGTGGTGAGGCTGGCAAGATTCTTTACTTCCAAGTTACAAATTAACTTTAGCCTACCAGTAACTCCAATCTGTTCTAAAATAAATGGACATTGGACCATAAATTATTCTAGTGAAAGGGGATACTTCTGTTCACACCACAAAACCCAAGATTAACAAGTTGAAATTAATATGTAATATGTAAGGAGGCATAAGATATTTTAAGTTGTGCCCACACTATCACATGCCCATTTGTTTATTGTGGTAGCATATGAAATAAACAAAGCACAGTTTAAATTATAATTTATAACTAGGGAGTACTCACTAAAGTCCAGCCATTAATTTTACAGTATATTGTTTGCCAAAGAGTAATTGGTCAAGATATATAACGACTAAGTATTATCATGACTTTTCAAGGATGAAAAAGGCAAGTTGATGGCCTCAAAGTAATTCAACTGAAAGGTACACATAAAAATAAAATCAATGACATTGGTTATGAAATCATGCACATATGCCAGTCACACAGTCAGTACAAAGCATTAAGTTGCTTTTCCCTCTAATTTCTCTTTTGAATTTTTTTTTTTTTTGGCCTGGGTTATTCTTGCCACTTTAAATCAAGTTCTAAAATGCCACAATCATGCTCCTATTACTACCAAAGATTCTTTTTTTTTTTTTTTTTTTTTTTTTTTTTTTTTTTTTTTTTTGTGACACCCAAATCTCTTTTATTTGGGGAGGGGGAGGAGGTTGGAGCACTGGAAAGGAGCGGACCCCAGGCCCTTTCACTGCACAGCTTGTTCGTTGGCACTGCTTCCTGAGTCCTGTGGCTTCATCACGTCAGGCAGCTCTGGAGGGCTGGAGAAGGGCTCAATGCGCAGAGCTTCAAATGCATCATCTGCCCGGAAGGCCAGCCCCACAGTGGCTGGAGCCTGTGGCCTCGCTGTTTGACTGGTGAAGCCACACTCGCCCAGGGTCTTGCTGTCATCCAGAAGCTGGTCATCCTTGTACAGCCGCTGCTCGTCGGTCGGCCGCTTGAGAATACCCTCGACGATGCGCTTCAGCTCGAACACGGTGCTCGACTCCTTGGCGTCCGTGAAGATGGTGGTCTTGTGGCGCCGGATCATAAGGAAAACGTCCTGGGGGCAGCGGGCCGGCATGAACAGGGGACCCGGCCCCCCTGACCCCCCCGCGCGGCCCGCGGCCCGCGGCCCCCGCCGCCCTCGGCCCCAGCCCGGCGCCCCCACTACCAAAGATTCTTAATGTATACAACAAAGGAGAGCCTAATAATTGAATTGATTTATGCAAATGTCTAGAATTTACATATTTATTATAACTGTTCAATTTTCTGTCCAAAATGATTGTTTTTCAGTAAAAAACATGTCCCAGTTAACTGGGGATTTCAGAGGGATTTCTAATTATTGTGTTGAGTTTACCACTTTCTAGGTATAAGCAAAATTTTCAGTTTCTATTCCCATCAGTGTTGCCATGAATTTGCAAGCATTTACATAATCTGCATTCAAAGCTGTACACATGTTGGACTTCACCTGCCTTTCTAACTTTATTTTCTTTGGTTAAGGAGAAATAAGACCCTGGGAATAAAGATGAAATACTGAGCAAAGGTTTACTCTCAAGCCAGGTCAGGGATGAGATGCTAGAAATTTGGGTCTCTGTCAGGAAAGCAGAATCTCTGAATTATGGGAGATGTTGGGGCCAATGAGTGGACTTGGTGTTGTGTGAGCAAATTTCTGTGTTTTGTCAGGGGGCAGTTTTACTATGGAAGTGACATTCTCATTTCAGGATAATGGTGCCTCAGTTGCCCTTACTGCCTCCTCCTTCTTGGAGTAACATCATGGTCACTATCATCATCATCATCATCATCAAATTAATAACATCACTGTAAGCCTCTGGAGAAGGGCCATGCCTTATTTTTTTCCATCCCCCGTGGATATCCAGTCCTCTATCACAGAACACTTTGGTTATTTTCGTGTCTTGGCCACCATGTAAAGGGGTACATATGTCTTTGCAAACACATGTTTTTGAGTTTTTTGGATATGTGCTCAGGAAAGGGATTGCTGGGTTCTATAGTAGTTCTAGTCTTAATTTTTTGGGGAATCGCCAGACTATTTTCCATAGTGGCTGTATCAGTATACAGTCCCAGCAGTGAATGAGGCTTCTCTTTTCTCCACCACCTCTCCAACACTTGTTATTACTTGTTTGATAACAGCCATTCTAACAGGTGTAGTTTTGATTTGCATTTCCCTAATTGCTAGTGAGGTTGAACATCTTTTCATATATTTATTGGCTGTTTGTATATCTTCTTGGCAGAGGTATCTGTTCAGGTCCTCTGTCCATTTTTTTATTGGGTTGTTTGTTTGTTTCTTTGTTGTTGAGTTCTATGAATTCTTTATATATATTTCGGATATTAAACCTTTGTAAGATCTATTGTTTGCAAATATCACCTTCCAGCCCTGGCCAGTTGCTCAATGGTTAGAGCATCAGCCAGTAGACCAAAGGATCTTGGGTTTGATTCCTGGTCAAGGGCACATACCTGGGTTGCAGGTTCAATACTTGGCCCTGGTTGGGTGCGTGCAGGAGGCAAACAATTGATGTTTCTCTTTCTCTCTTTTTTTCCTGGTTGTGCAGTTATTTGGTTGTTCAGTTGCTTATGCTTTTATATATATAGATGATTATCATATAATTCATTTTTTAAATTGTTGAAAATATTACATGTGTCTCCTTTTTCCCCCATTGACCTTTCCCAGTCTACCTCCATACCCCACTGCAGGCCTTCCTATCCTATTGTCTGTATCCATGGGTTATGCATATATGCATATAAGTTCATTGGTTGATAACTTCCCACCCACCTTCCCTCACCTTCCCTCTGAGGTTTGACAGTCTGTTCGATGCTTCCATGTCTCTGGATCTATTCTTATTCATCAGTTTATTTTGTTCATTTGATTCCACAAATGAATGAGATCATGTGATACTTATCTTTCAGTGATTGGCTTATTTCACTTAGCATAATACTCTTCAGGTCCATTCATGCTGTTGCACATGGTAAGAGTTTTTTCTTTTTATAGCTGCATAGTATTCCATTGTGTAGATGTACCACTGTTTTTCAATCCACTTATCTGTTGATGGGCATTTGGGCTGTTGCAACATATTAGATATTTTAAACTATGCTATTATGAACATAGGGGTGCATATATCCTTTCTGACTGGTGTTTTGAGTTTCTTAGGATATATTCCTAGAAGTGGAATCACTAGGTCATATGGGAGTCCCATTTTTATTTGTTTGAGGAAACTCCATACTGTTTTTCACAGTGGGTGCACCAGTCTGCATTCCCACCAGCAGTGTACTGGTGTTCCCTTCCTTCCACATACTTGCCAACACTTACCATTTGTCGATTTGTGGATTCTGACAAGTGTGAAGTCATAGATAGCTCATTGTCATTTTGATTTGCATCTCTTGGACAATTAGTGATGTTGAGAATTTTTCATATGCCTTTTGGACTTCTGTATGTCCACTTTGGAGAAGGGTCTACTTAGGTCCTTTGCCCAAGGATTATTTATATTCCTTTGTTAAATTGATTATTTATATCCTTTTGTTGAGTTCCTATACATTTTGGAGATTAACCCCTTATTAGATATATCATTGGCAAATATGTTCTCTCATGCAGTGGACTCTCTTATTATTCTGTTGATGGTTCTTTTGCTGTGCAGAAACTTTTGATGGCTGTACTTCTCAGATATTCACAGAGATTTGTGCCATTATGCCAGGGGTATGAGAGAAAATGGTAATATTTTCTGAAGCTCTCATTACACTGGAATATGTCTTCACCCTCTTCTGCCATTGGAATTTTTATTTTATTTTTTATTAAGGTATTATATGTGTACATATCTTACCATTGCCCACCTCCAATGTACTCCCATACATGCCCTCACTCACCAGTATTTTGCATCCATTGGTTATGCTTATATGCATGCATATAAGTCCTTTGGTTAATCTCTTATCTACCCCACATCTCCCTAACCTTCCCACTGTAATTTGATTGTCTGTTTGTTGCTTAACTGTCTCTGTATCTATCTTTATGTTCATCAGTTTATAATGTTCTTTATTATCCATAAATGGATGAGATCATGTGGTGTTTTTCTTTCATTGACTGGCTTATTTCATTCAACATAATGTTCTCCAATTCCATCCAGGTTGCTGCAAATGGTAAGAATTCCTTCTTTTTTTGTGGCAGTGTAGTATTCCATTGTGTAGATGTACCATAATTTCTGATTCAATCATCTGCTGATGGGCACCTAGACTGTTTCCAAATCTTAGCTACTGTAAATTGTGCTGCTATGAACATAGGGATGCATATATCTTTTTGATTGGTATTTCTAGTTTCTTAGGATATACTCCTAGGAATGTGATTACTGGATCAAATGGGAGTTCTATTTTCAGTATTTTGAGGAAACTCCATACTTTTCTCTACAGTGGTTGTACCAGTCTGTATTAATACCAGCAGTGCATGAGGGTTCCTTTTCCTCTGCATCCTCACCAACACTTGTTATTTGTTGATTTGTTGATGATAGCCATTCTGACAGGTATGAGATGGTATCGCATTGTTGTTTTGATTTGCATTTCTCAGATAATTAATGACTTTGAGCATGTTTTCATGTGTCTCCTGTCCTTCGTCTGTCTTCTTTTGAATAGATTCTATTTAGATCCGCTGCCCATTTCTTTATTGGATCATTTATCTTCTTTTTATTAAATTGTATGAGCTGCCTGTAGATGTTGGAGATTAAACCTTTATCAGTGATAACATTTGCAAATATGTTCTCCCATACAGTGGGCTTTCTTATTGTTTTGTTGATGGTTTCTTTTGCTGTGCAAAAGTTTTTTATTTTGATGTAGTCCCATTTGTTTATTTTCTCTTTAGCTTTCATTCCCCTCGGGGCAGTATCAGTGAAGAAGTTCTTTTGGCAAATGTCTGAGATTTTGTCGCCTGTGGATGTCTCTAGTATTTTTATGGTTTCCCATCTCATGTTTAAGTCCTGTATCCATTTTGAGTTTATTTTTGTGTATGGTGTAAGTTGGTGATCTAGTTTCATTCTTTTGCATGTATCTGTCCAATTTTCCCAACACCATTTATTGAAGAGACTGTCTTGACTCCGTTGTATGTTCGTGCCTCTTTTGTCAAATATTAACTGAGCGTAGTGATTTGGTTGATATCTGGGTTCTCGATTCTATTCCATTGATCTATATGTCTGTTCTTGTGCCAGTACCAGGCTGTTTTGAGAACAGTGGCTTTGTAATACAGCTTGAAATCTGGTATTGAGATCCCTCCTACTTTACTCTTCTTTCTCAGGATTGCTGCGGCTATTCAGGGTCTTTTATTGTTCCAAATGAACTTTTGGAGAGTTCTTTCTAGGTCAGTGAATTATGCTGTTGGTATTTTAATGGGGAGTGCATTGAACCTATAAATTGCTTTGGGAAGTATGGACATTTTAATGATGTTGATTCAGGTTCCAAAGTAAGTTTCTCTTTTCCACACATCTTTCACTTGAAAAAACAGAAATGTACCCTAGATTTTAGGTGATAAATTTATATTTAGTGTGGAAGAAGATGGCTGATTAAAACTGGGGAGTGGAACAGAGGAAAGAAAGTGGAGGAACACTAATAAATATTTAAACGCCTTTTATGGGTGGAAACTGGTAAAAAGCAGCCTGTGGTACATTGTAACTGCTGCCCTGGGCTTGGAGCAGACCAGGACCATGCGGAAGGGTTTCTTGGAGAAACAGCAGACTTTGGCCCTTTTATGAGCCTCACACACAGCACTACTGTTCCAGCCACAGCTTTCATGGTGCTCCAAAGCTGACTTCGAAAGGGATGTTTGTGTGGTTTACATGCAAAGAAAACTTCATTGCTTTGGCTTTTATTTTCCTTGCTTATGAAAAGAGCTTGCTTATAAAAAGCCTTATTCCCTAGTAGAACATGTCAGTTTTTTTCTACTTTCCTGAATCTATAATTAAATCAGCTTCATAATAACAGATGTGAATTTGAACTTGAAAGGAGGATCAGTGAAGGCTGGAATATGGTTTGGAAAAAACCCAGTAACTCTTTCCCCATCCAAAGTAAATGACAATTTATGCATCTTCTGAAATA